GAAGTAAAAATTTTTTTTAATGGTAAACGTAGCAACTCTTATTTAATATCAGAATTAAACTAAAATTTTGACTTATTTTATTATGAAATTTTAAAAAATTTTCAGGCCTTTTCATTAGAGGTTTTTTTTAAATTAGGTTAAGATTTAGAGTTAGTGTTGTTAGTAAAAAAGTATATTTATTATAGATTTAAATAAGAACCCTAAATTTTAGCATTAGCTAATTTCAGCATCATTCCTGACATTTAATAATTTTTTGATTAACTTTAGGGTTAAAGGCATCCTATATTAGGATTAAGTTTGGTTTTAATTAGTTATATATAAGCAAATTGCCTTCTTAACACTTTTAATTAACTTACCCGAAGTAGGTTTAAACTGCTGTTTTTTGTATTTTTCAGGTTTTTGTTTTTATTTCTTGTTTTGCTTTGCCGGCAATTATTAAAATTCTGTAATTTTATTGGCAGTTAATCACATGATTTGCCTCTATTTTAGAACCTATATAGATTACCCACAAAAAATTTTTCAGTCATATGATGTAGCATCCAATCAAAATAATCAAAATATTGATGATCCTTTTAAAATTTTGAAAAATATTTTTGATTCTAGTGATGATTTCTCAATAACAAGTTAATAGGACCCCAGACATCTAGAATATAGGTCATATTGGAACTTTTTAGCAAAACCCCTGTAAATTTCGAGAGCAAAAATCACTTTTTTGTAAATATCTCAGCAACTAGCAGTCCAATTTGGATGAACTTTTTTTAAATGAAAGCCCTCAGTGAGACGCTTCTTTTAAAAAAAAGTTCATTCAATTCTAATCACTGGATCTGGAGATATTTAAGAAAAAGCAAAATTCTAGTTTTTAGCAAATTAGGCCAAATTGGCCAAAATCCAAATACAACCTATATTAGAGATGTCCGGGGTCCTGAGTTAATTAAACTTGGTAAAATTTTTTTATTTTAATTCTATACTTTTATAAAATCAAAATAGAAAAAAATTCAGCGAATTTGGATAGATGAGTGTTGAGAAATCTTTGCTAAAAGGTTTAGAAAATATTTAAATATTTTAGAAAAAACTAGAAAATCAGAATAAATTTTCTTTTTTTTAACTTTAAACAACAATTTCTCAACTACTATCGATTCAAATTTGATAAAAATTTTTTTATTTTAATTCTGTAAGTTTATAAAATCAAAATAAAAAAAAACTTTATTAAAATTGAATAGGTTATTGTAGAGAAAGTTTAACAAAGGATTTTTTAAAAAAATTAGCCACAGCATCTTTTTTATAAGTATCTAAACTTTGAATAAAAATTACTCGGTATTTATCTGATCAAATTTGATAGTTTTTTTTTTATTTTAATTTTAAAAGTTTATAGAATTAAAATAAAAAATTTGGTCCAATTTGATCAGGTAAATGCCAAGTAATCTTCGTTCAAATTTTGGGCATCTATAAAAAAAAAGCTGCAGCTAATTTTTTTCTAAACTATTTAGTAAAGGTTCTCAACAACCACCTATCTAATTTCAATAAAATTTTTTTTATTTTAATTCTATAAACTTACAGAATTAAAATAAAAAAAATTTTATCAAATTTAGAATGATACATGTTGATAATTTATTTATTAAAAGTTTAAATAAAGAGGTATGGCAACTTAGTGTAGTGGTCTAGTCATCACCCACTCCAAGTGGCAGGTCTAGAGTTCAAATCCCACTAGCAACGATATTTAAAAAATAGACTTGTGTTTCTTGTATTCAGTTGACGGCTATGCTTATTGGTTGGATCTAGAACTATAATTTGTAACTTCGGTCACATTATCTAGAAATGAGAGCTTTAGCGCAATAAACCCGAGGAACCGGCATAACCGAAAACACATTTGGGAAGACCTGAATCTGGAGGTAGCAGTGATCTTTGACGGTATTACAGGAGGGCTGAATTTGAACTGGGCTCAAGATCGGAGAACTAAGCGACCAGGTCCTATGGCAGAGGACACACCGGCCGAACTGCTGGGTTGTCGCACCAGAGAAAAAGGTCATACGCTCTGAAAGTATGAACCAAGGGGAGGGCGTTCTTCAGGTACCTAAAGCCTGGGCAGACCAACCCTTCCAGTTGCCAGCTAGAAGTAAGGAGGGACCGATAAAGAATCCGGGTAAGAAGACGGTCTAAATATGCATTAGCAAAATATATTAACGTAATCTTACGTAGGTTACTACGCCCCGAAATATTGCGCAAAAATTACAGTCTGGACATAATATTGTGCAAAAAGTTGCGAAATATTGCACAATATATAACATAAAATTATAAAATAAATTACGCAAAATTACAAACTTATAGTGCAATATTACACTATAACTAGCGCAATATTACACTATAACTAGCGCAATATTTCGAATTAGTTTGAAACAATTTGAATAGACGTAAAATCATCAAAACAGCAAACATATATAAACTAAAAGATAGCTACTAATGAGAAAAAAATGCTAATCAATTCGAATTTATTTGATACTATTCGAAATATTTTGTGGTAATTCAAATTAATTCGAAATAAATTAAATAATTTTTAAATAATAGAAAATATATTAAAACGCAATAATTATACGATTTATTAGATATTTTTGAATTAATTCGAAACAAGCTAAATTTATAATCTTTATTTAAATAAACATAATATAAGTTTTATAACTTAAAATAAATTTTATTAATAATTTTATTTTTTATTTTATTTAAAATTTTAAAAATTACATAAAAAAAAGCTAAATTATAGAAAATCCTAAATGAAATATATAAAAATAAAAGACAAAAAACGCAGCATTATTCAAATAAAAAAAAATCAAAGCAAAAAAATAAAAACGTTTACTTATCATCATCCATATCTTTCTCATCATCAACCGTAACTCTCTTATCATCATAATTATCATCATCGTTTGAGGCCAAAGAATCATCATCTACCGGTATATTTATATCTACTTCAGGAACTTCTTCTTGGTTAGTTGAGTCTTCATCCGAACTAACTCGAACTTCTTCAGAATATATATGAAAAAAAATTAAAATTAGCTAATTCGAATTATTGCAAATTAATTTAATTAAAGTTAATTTAGTTAAAGTTTTTTTTACTATACTTTGGCCTTTAATGATTCTAAATAATTTATAAAAATTAAAATAAATTCAATTAAATTAAATAAAATTAAAAAATTATACCCTTTTGGAATGATTTGAATCTTTTTTGCATTTGTCAATTTTATCCTAATTAAATTGAATATTCTTACAGTAATGGTCAGCATTTACTGGTTTTATCACGATGACCAAATCCGTACAGCAGGAGTATAAAATGTATAAATACTTAATACGGAATGGTTTTCGAAAATAAGTATTTTAGAAATTACCGAAGATCTGGATAGTTGAATGACCAAATTATATAGTAAGAGGGTGTAAAATACCTATTTTAAAAACTATACATTGATCTCGTTTATCAATAAGATGCAAAAATCATTACTGCAAATTATGTCATGACATACAAATGAAGAATAACACCCTTATTTTCCACTGCGGGTAGATATAACCGGGAGTTTACCTGAAAATATCTACTTTCTTATTTCATTGAATTGAATTTAGTGGGTGTATTTAAATAAGCTTTTCTTTATATTTATATTAAATTGTAAGTATAGTCTAAAATATGATTTAAAAAAATTTGTTGCACCTTAAGTTATTCTATTTCTGTGAGATTATATAAAAATTATCTGCCATTTCTCATTAAGTCAATTATTTAGGTTAATTTAACTGGAAAGTACTGTATAAAATAATTGTTAATCAAAGTATTTGAAAACAATGTATTAGTTTTACTAGCTTATTGTCCTTACTGATTTAATCGATAAACATTATTTATTTAGCTTATTGTCCTTACTGATTTAATCGATAAACATTATTTATATCAATTTCTTATTCGTGCTGATTTCTGAAAATTTATATACAAAGTATTGATTATAAATTTTAGTCTTATCTGAACTCAAAGTTGTATGGTACCCTACTTACACTTATACAAAAAATTAGGCTATTTATGTTCGTTATAATAATTTTATGCTAACTAGATCAAATATCACAAAAATCCAGAATCAGATTATATTTTATCAGGACCGACGGTCTTTTCAGTCCGTCCCGAAATAGACAGGTACGGTCCATCGGTTTGAGTTGACCACTTAACAGCCCTAATCATGTTACACATATTAATACTATATCACGGTATATCAATGTTTATTCCATGGTTCGGAATTTTAATATTTCTTTCTTTATATATATATCTTTTTTTTTTTTTTTAATGTTATCTTAACGATTGTTTTAATTCATATCAAAAGTCTCCTAGTAAAAAAAAAAGAAAAAAATACAAACCAGAGAAAGAAACCACATAATCAATAAACTTTATGAAATAATTTATAAAATTAATATGAGTAACATGATCAATGACCACCATTTAGCGGCCATTTGATTGATTCAGCGAAGCGGATGATCTGAGTCAATCAAATGGCTGTTAAATGACGCTGACCCAATATTATCTACATTCTAACCAATTGTACAAACGTTCGTTTTGTCGAAAATCGCTCATAACACCTGCGCATTAGTAAAAATTTTCCTTGTAAAATTGATATAGATAATACCCTCCCAACCTAACCTAGGGCAAGGCCCTAATTCTAACTTAACAGCTGAAATTTTACTTCGAAATAGGATTGAAATTTTTTTGGGTGACTTGTGGATTTCGACCGATCAAAACAACTCATCTCCAATAGGCCAAATGATCTGCAAATTTGACTAGAATTGGATTGTTTTGAAAGTAGATCTGTCGACAAGCTACACAGGTACAGGTAGTGCTCGGAAAAATCAAACAAAAACTTTGATTATCAAGTTTTGAGTCTATCAATCGATAGTTTCAAAACCTTGAAAATCAAGTTTTTGTTTGATTTTGCTGAGCACTAGGTACAAGCCACCTAAATTCATTCATAAATACTCCACACCAATTCTCACCCAACTCTCAATGTGAGCTCTACTCCCTATTATCTTATATATCTGGTGTCAAAGAACAAAGAAATTGATCATACTCTATTAATGTTAAAATGGAAATTGACCTTTAAACAAACAATTCATACCTCAACTCTCCATGAACTAGCTGACCTTGCCGAATAAAACACTTTATTATCTGAAGTTACGCTGCCTCTAGAATTTATAATAACAAAGAACAGACAACAAGAATAACCGAGTGATGAACGAAAGTCAAAAGATAATGTCCTGTGCTTGACCATAAGAACTACGTCCAATGTGGTAGCTGGTGCTATACGAGAGTTTTTGGGGCGATGTCTCTGTAATATACATATATTTATGTCATCACCTAGCAAGATTATTAGATATCCAAAAGATCATTTGGAGTTTTTGTAGTAACAAAACACAATTTTATATTGATGGGAATATAGTGTTTCTTATATTTTTAATTATTTTCTTAATTTCTAATTTCTAAAATTAGTAGTTCCTGAGTAATTACTTAAAAACCTAGATAATTATTTTATCTTTACCATTTTTAAGCAATTACTCATGAATTACTAATCCAAATTGGCTAAAATTGTTATAGTAGTTAGATATGTTACTTGGCTATAACATATATAAATTTCAGCCAATTTGGTTCATTAGATATTGAGTAATTGCTTAACTATGATAGACAAGTATTTTACCCAATTATTTTTAGTTTTTAAACAATTACACACTAATTTCTAAAATTAATATCATTTCTTATAATTGTAATTATTTTCTTAATTTCTAATTTCTAAAATTAATATCATTTCTTACAATTGTAATTATTTTCTTATTTCTAATTTCTATATTTCTTAAGCCGTAAGACCATTTGCTTATGAGTATAAATAGTATTTATGACAGTTACGACGTTATGGCTGGAATTTTTCAGGATTTCGTGCTCAAAAATATACATTTTTTGCTTGAGGGAGACGATTCACCCGTAGAAGGTGCATTGTGTATTAATGGTCTTTTATCGTATTGTATTCAAGAAGGTTCTATGAATTCTATTGATTGTGAAAATTTTATTAAAACATGTTTTAGTAAGAATTTTATTACGTAAATATGATATTGATTGTTTAAAATATCAATTAAAATAAACAGGAGGAAACGTTGAACGTCATAAAATTGTTACACAATTGATAAAATTTTTTTTTATATTATTTTACAATACTTTTTTGGAAGGCTCGTTTGACTTATCTTTTCTATGAATATTGAAAATGATTAAACAAACATGAAGCTCTCATTTTGCTTTACAACATATTTCTTGAATCCCATGGTTTCGTCTTTTTGTAAATTTCGCAATTTGATTGGTTGACTAATCCCGTAGTGATATTTTGACTGGTCGATACAATGAGTGATCCGTGTAACGGAGAATGAAAATCATATCTATATTTGGACGTTTCCTCCTGTTATTAAAATATGGTCGTAATTTAATTTTGTGACGTAAATGTCATAGCTATTAGGAATTCGTATATCAATATTAAAAATTTGACCTGATTCAAAAGATATATTTTTTTACGTACTTTATACCGATCATGCCGAAAGGGTGTTCTCAAGCACCTACCTCAATGGACTCAATAACGAATCTGATTTGTCAGTTTAATCAAACTAGCCAATCAGATTTTTTATTGAATTCATTGAGGTGGATGCCCTTAATCGGATCGGCCGAAAATCATTCGGCTCAGGAATTATGAAAACAGCTGTAAAAAAAATTTATAAAATTGTTATATATAAAATTTTAAAAAAAAAACCGTCCGGCCGGGTCTATTTAAAAACTTTCATGTTACGAGAACCAATAAATTAAATTTGCGTGGCCTTACGTAAAGTTGGTGATCTAGATATTTCCCTTATGGTATTTCAATACGGTAGTAATTATGATTTAGGAAACGGGGTCTAAAAGCACGTAAAGAAGGCATTTCGAATATTATAAAAAACCTGCAGAGATGAATAATGGTAAGAGAATGAGTGCTGTTGGATATTGCTATAAAAAAGGAATTAGAGTCGAAAAAGAAGACAAGAAAGCTTTAAAAAATGCAGAGATGGGTAATGCTAATGGAATAAATGCTGTTGGATATTACTATTTCAAAGGAATTGGAACGAAAAGAAGGCATTCGAATATTTTAAAATCAGCAGAAATGGGTAAATATTTAACGTATCAAAAAGGAATCGGAGTCGAAAAGGATGAAAAGAAGGCATTCAAATACTAGTGAAATATTTAACGTTGGATGTTGCTATGAAAAAGAATTGGAGTCGAAAAAGACCACAAGAAGGCATTCGAATATTATAAAAAACCTGCAGAGATGGGCGATGCTGATGGAATAAATTATGTTGGAAATTGTTATCAAAAAGGAATCGGAGCCAAAAAAAGTTTGCAGAGATAGATTTTGCGGAAGGAATAAATAATGTTGGGTATTCATAGACAGAAATTTGTCTGATTGGCTAGTTTTTAGATCGATTTGTAAATCTACACGTGATTATTACCCAATCAAA